TGCCCCAAATAGTCAATCACACAAAATATCTTTTAGTACACGGAGAAGAAGAAGAAGAATAAACTTTGCAAAGTCAATCAAGAACTAAAAACGATACAAAGTAACTATCTGATTGTCTGGCCTGAAAAACAAATACTACAAACAGCATTTAATACACTATGAACTAGTGAAAAGGGGGTTCAAGGGATACCAAACAAGGGATCTTAACGCAAGATTATGGAGAACTATTAACACCATATTAGTTAGTCAGAAGGGAAATTAAAGGGAAACACTATGACAAGATTCAAGAATGAAAGGGGAATTAAAGTGACAATAAAGGCATATTAAAAAGTTTCTTCGCTCAGTTGCTTCCTATCAATAAACTCTGCTTACCCACAGACAGGCCAGGGCTGTCAGCATCTGCAGCAGCTGGTCGGTGCCCGTGCTTAGCGGGCGTCCCCGCAGAGCAACACAGTCTCGGTGGTAGGATGCGCTATTTGGTGGCAATTGGCACCTGTTCTTCCTCAACCTTCAACAGTCCCACAGCAGAAGGATTCTCTGAGAGGCCAGATAATGAATTCAACTGCCTTGCCGCTTCTGCCTCCATGGCAACTATCCCAAAAGTCCATCCCCAAAGGAAGCAGTTTAGGCTAGAGCAGGAGTGCAGCCCTGAGGACATATTCCAAATGAGACTCACAGGTGCTGAGTTCGCTGTGTCATAAACACAGTGCACAAACACGAAGGTACTTATCGCAAGAGGGGTCTTAATATCTGAGCTGAAACAAACTGACAGATGGGACAGGCCTCTTGGCATGGTTATGTGCCAGAGGAAAGCAACAACCCCAAGCATCATGGTGCCTACGGGTTCAATACACGTGTAAATCACATAAAGGCAGTTATTCCTTTTCCACCTTTCCTCTCTTGGGGTCTCACGTTGGGTGCCAATTATGTCTCAGTTTAATGAGACAGAAGTGTTTGCTGAGTAGGGCGAGTTATGACGAAGACCAAGCCTCCCTTTCTAAGCAGTTGTAAATCCAAAATTAAGAGGCTGAAGTCGAGGAAATTTGGAGAAATAAAAAAAAAAAAATCAGCCCTCTATTATAGGATACGTGTGTATAGGTAGCACAGGAAAAGAACAAATGCAAAAAACAATCTTGCACCCAAATTCCCACCCAAATCCAGTTCTTTTTGCCTTTCGGCACAATTCTAACCACGACCGGCAGGGGGCGCTGCTGGGCTGTGGCGGCCGCCGTGAGGGGCCGAATGGAGACCCCCCTTGGTCGGTGGGTACGAGCTGTGCCCACACGGCAACCGAGGAGGGCAGGGGCCGCCTTTTCCCTCCAGAGCTCCTCCGCAGTCAGCACTGGCTTCTCTGAGGAAATCCCAGGCAGACCGGGCAGTGGGCAGGGCAGGCGGTGAGAGAAAGAGAGGCGAGCCGGGGCCAAGGCAACTCAGCAACTTGGCCGAAAACAGAGATGAAAACCTGGAGCTTTTTTCTCTCCACACACGCCGTCCCTGAGTCCCGGGCAACAATAAAGTAAAAAGTGGCAGCTTCCCCAGGAGAAAAACTCACCTTCCCCCCACAGACTTCTGAGCCAATTAGCTTGGAATGTGGGGCTACGGGCTACTCTTCAGTGTGTGTGAATCCCTCCAGCCACCTCCTCCCCATCCCATGTTCAACACTTTTCTTCTGCTTTTTCTTTTAGGGGTTGTTTGTTTTGTTTTGTTTTGTTTTGTTTTGTTTTGTTTTGTTTTGTTTTGTTTTGTTTTGTTTTGTTTTGTTTTGTTTTGTTTTGTTTTAAAACAGGCAAACCTATGACTGGGGGACATTG